GGCAGCAACAGGGCAAGCACAAGATCACGTGATCAGTATACCAGAATACCGAGAAGCACGGACTGGTATGATGGTATGATCTACCGAAGGAGTATACCAAATGGAAGGTATGATGAGAAGGTATGATGACAAGGTTATAAAAGGAAGAAGGATTCTGGTCATGTATCTAGTCTTTCCTTAATCGCGCTCAATTTCAATTCATTCAAGATCGTTGTTACTAAGATACTTACTTTGGGGGTCAGTAAGACTTCTTACTACTAGTGGTATACTTCGGTATAGCTCTAGTAGGCGTTGCCTCTGACCTAGTCGTTGTTATCATTCTTACCCTGGAGAACTCCTACTTGTTGTGTGTCCCTGCGAGACCCCTTTTATACTTGTGAGAGGTCGTTCGAGGAAGAGCCCTTCGCCAGGTAGGCCGTTGTCTCGAGAAGAGGAGACCCGGGTCAGTTAGACCGTCGCGTGCTCGTGAACGACATAGAGTCAGGAAGACTCCTTGATCCTTCCCTAACCACCACTGTTAAGTATCGACGACTACGGTTGGACCCAGCGCGTAACAGCTTCACTGGAGAAACCGTTCCGCCGGGCAGATTCTTAAGTCCGTCGACTCCGTTCAGTCTTATTGGTTACGAGATATGGGGGAGGTCCATCAGCGGGGCTGGGCTGGACAGGAAATGTGGGGGTGGAAGAAACAAGTCTGGGGAAGATGCAAAGATATTATCTTTACGGAGGAGGTACAGTACATGTATATATGTATGGACATGAATAACGTGCTATATAATAATCATCATTGGTATGTAGTTAATTAATAATTAATTATTATTATTAATTGCATGGAGAAGAAAAATTGGCCCCACGTGGATGGATATCCGGATGTTTGATCTGATCATCATCGGACTTAGATCTGGCTTTATATGTTCTATGCTTTCCGACCACAGCCCCAGATTTATTGATTCGATCCATGTCATGACAGATATGACAGATATGACAGATATGAGGGCCTTACTTACCACTGACGCCTCTCTCTCCTCTGGCTGGTTCCAATCCATCGTGTCAGCACATTGATTATTATACTCTGGACTATTCGGAACATACCGACTTGCTGCTGCTGCCCCATCTTTTAGTTGAACCGTACGGGGTACTCTGCCCCACGAGGTGTGCTCATACGTGCCAAGTCGCTCGCTGCTACCGCATGCCGAATCAATTGATTCGAATTGAACGTATCTACCTGTCGCGATTCGTTGATTCCATTCGTAGCGTTGATTCTTCTAAACTGTTACCAACGGACTTAGAGATAGTCCCGGAGATAGGAGTCTGGAGGTAGAGTTCTGGGGTAATACCCAAGCGGGGTAAGAACTGCTGTCAGCATTAGCATCCCATGGCCATGCAGTCAGACGTGTCCACTGAACAAAGAACAAACATGGCTTGACTGCTATTCGGATAAAACGTCCTGGGCGTGTAACCGTGTTGGCGATAGTGGGTCTCTCTCCGACTTTATCTTACCTACCTACCTAGTATATAGGCATTAATATACCCCAGATTCTACCTCATTCTAGCCCAAGACAGACGCTGACAGACCGCTTTGTATTATTTTCCAGTTTCAACAATGCTGGTCGACAGATTCGGAGACGTCCTCGCGCTGATGCAGCTGCAACGCGCAGTTGCTCAGTTCGGGACGGGCAATATCATCCTGTCTGTTGTTGTTGCAGGGCTGGTCGTGCTCGCGGTCGACTATGCGTGGATGCTGTATCTGCATTTTAAAATGGTCAGTATACATACAAACTACTACACCATGTTCTAGTGAGCTGACGCCTGGCAGCCCCCTGGACCACTCCCTCTCCCCATCATCGGCAACACCCATCTCCTCCCGGACTGCAAACCATGGATCTACTTCGAGAAACTCTCCAAAGAATACAACGCCCCGCTCATCACCTTCTGGATCGGCCGCAACCCCACCGTCTGGATCTGCGATGCCTGGTGCGCCAACGAGCTACTCGACAAGCGCGCGGGCATCTACGCGTCGCGCCCAAGGATGGTCGTCTTCGGCGAGCTGGGCACCGGCCAGACGAACCTGGTCACCATGTACTACGGCGAGCGGTGGAGGCTGCACCGCAAGCTGACGCACATGGGCGTCGGCCTGCAGCAGGTGCGCAGCTACCGCGGTTTTCAGAACGACGAGAGCAAGGTCGTTGCGTACAACTTGCTGTCTTCGCCGGAGGAGTATGTCAAGCACTTTGAGCGCTACGCCGCCAGCGTCGTCTCGATCATTGGGTTTGGTCGCCGCATCGCTAGTTATACCGATCCTATCATCACCGAGGTCATTGCTGTTATGCAGCGGGCTGCGGATTTGAATGTGCCGGGGAAGAAGTTTCCTATGCTGATGGAGACGTTTCCAAGTGAGTGCACCTATCACCAATCCAGCGCTCTCTTTTTGTTTTGTCTGTCTCTGACTGTACAGTTCTCGCCAAATTCCCAAACAAGATCGCCCCCTGGAAACACGGCCTAGGAGCCCGCAGCCGCGGCCGCAGCTTTTTCTACGCTCTGGCCGAAGAAGCAGCCAACAACCCCAAGCAGCCGCAGTGCTACGCCAGGAAACTGTTCGATGAGGCGCCAAAATACAACCTGACGCCGGAAGAGATCGCGTCGTTGGCCGGCAATCTGTTCGGTGCCGGGAGCGACACATCTAGTTCCACGCTGATCACGTTCGTGCTGGCCTGCTGCGCTTTTCCGGAGACGCTGCCCAAGGCCTGGGAGGAGCTGGATCGGGTGGTTGGTCACCATCGCAGTCCGACGTTTGACGACGAGCCCAATCTGCCGTATGTCAAGGCGTTTGTGAAGGAGGTGTTGCGGTGGCGGTCTGTCGCTATCATTGGCGGGCAGCCTCATGCTCCAATACAAGATGATTATTACAAGGTAGGCAGACCCATCTGGCTGTATAAGTTGCAGACGTGCTGACGATCGTACAGGGCTGGTTGATCCCCAAGAATACCTGGGTACAAGGCAACGTCTGGGCGATCCACCACCACGAGCGCGAATTCCCTGACCCAGACCGATTCATCCCCGAGCGATTCATCAAAGGCAGTCCGTACAACCGACCGTTCCCTGGCGAGAGAGGATACATGACATTCGGCTGGGGTCGACGCGTGTGCAGCGGGCAAGGGCTAGCGGAGCAAGGCACCTTCATCACCGTAGCACGGTTGCTATGGGGATTCAAGATCGAGAAGGCGCTGGACGAGAACGGCAAGGAGATCCCGGTCGACATCTTCGACTTTACCAACGGGCTCAACATGCGCCCATCGCCCTTCAAATGCCGCATTACGCCTCGCAATGAGGACATCCGGGCGGCTATTGAGCGGGAGGGCAAGCAGGCGCTGCAGGATCTGGCCCCGTACGAGGGAGAGACCAAGTACCGGATGAGCAAGTTTTATCAGCAGAATACGTTGAGATAAAACCTATCTTGACGACTGTCGCTACTACTCCTACTGTCGCTACTACTCCTACTACTTTGTTATCTAGTATTCTGGACAGACACAAATGCCGATATCTTAACCGGTTGGATGAGTTGAGTAAGACATAGCATAGGCAGTGACGGAGCAAGTGGAGAAACGGTCAATCGATGCAAAATGGGTAGGAATATGATGGTATGGTACCCTATCAGGGATGATGAACCTGAATATCAATCAGTAAGGGACAGAATTGTGGCAGTCAGTCACATTTGTAGGCATGTTATGCATGTACTGTACCTAGATAGTAAGTACTACACAATATGCAAATACAAAAATTTCTCAAAAAGACAGACAGACCAGACAGACAGATAACTTGATTGATTTTTGATTGATTTAAATAAAATATTCTTCAACATATTCTTTTTCGTCATTCCTTCCTTCCTTTTCCTAACCCTTTCCCTTTCAAAAAGGAAA